TTAAATAAAAACCTTTTCTACTATCTTTCCCATATTAGTTCAGCCAATCAAAATCAACTTCCTTTATTTTGTCTTGTATCTGATCCCTAAGGTCAACCTCAGGAAGTCAGAGCAGTGATACACATTCCTCTAAAAAATGGTATTCTGCTATATTATTATTTAACACATTTATAGTAGTAATAATAACATATATATATTATATTACATAGTAGTAATAATGTTGTATAAGAATAAGTGTTATTGCTGACACTGTGGTTTGAAACTAGATTGCCAGTGAGCAACACTGGCAATTTCATTATTAAGTAGATCACGTGACCAAAAAGGAAGTGAATAAATAGGAAGTAGTGTGATGACTATATGATCATCATTCACTCTTCTTGTCTATCCACTATTGCTATACATTCACTCTCTTTACTACTATACAGATTATGATCATTATACTATTTGGCAATTACTACTTGAACAAGTATTACTAGTGCAGATATTATTGGAAGGCATTACTACTGATACCAGCATCTATCTTATATTACATAGTGGTAATAACATATGTATTTTTATGTGAGTATTATTGTACTCATGTCTTTACTGTTGTTAAAATTATGAAATGGTTAAACTCTCTAAATATATTTTCTTTTTTTTCTTTTTTAAAAACTCATTTCACCCCAAGAAAGGTGATAATGCTGCTAAGATTCTAGCAATTACTGAAAATGGAAGAGAATGAGAAGACGTTAGTGAGGAGAAAGGAGAATAAAAGTACAGGATTCAGGAAGACAGAAATATAGTGATGTTGCATTTAAATTTTTGAAGATTGCGGGTGCCAGGGGAACAAGAAACAAGAAGAGAGTTCCACAGGTGAGAAGCTTGAAAAGAAACTATTAGAATAGAACTGATGGTTTCAACTAGCTATTTCAACAGTAAAATGATGAGACCTATCTGCCAATCTAGTAGTATATGTTATAGTGGAACACACCTATTCTATAGGAGTAGGAGTCGCTCAGGGGTTCGGTCAGTCAGTCAATGCTGGACGACCGTTAATCGGATACTAAAGTATCAGCGACCACAACTAGATTTTCTCTGCATCATTACCTATTATATCAAGTTCCTAACGTTTTGTATGTCGAACCTATTTTAGGACCGACTTAGTACAAATACAAACCTCCACTGTGAAACCACTCCATAACAGTATACTTAAATTCAAGGGGTCAAGGTACAAAGGAGGAGTGTTCTTTGGAATAATTGCTATGAAAATATTTATAGAAAAAGCAGGTAAAATCAGACCCTTCTTTGGATTTTGTTGAGAATCTCGATATAGATAGCTGGAGGACCAGACTCGATATGGCAGCAATATTCAATGCCCAGATGATTTATGAATGTACAAGATAAATTCTGGAAAGAAAAATTGTCTGGCATGACACCGTAAACCAACGGTGTTTGTTTATCTACATTGTGTCAAAACTGGACTTTTTGTTTACATCCTCACAATTGTCTTTATTTATAATCCTCGACAAATGACAGTGCCATGCATCCTGGTGGCCAGCCAGTAAATTGGGTCATTCAATATTAACAAAAATGTGTTTGCTTGTGATCTTAGCATGTTCAGTCAATCTTTTGTAATCAGCAGCTTCCTGGTTTTATTGCAAGAAAATCACTTCATTGTTATTAGTTTCACAGTGAATAATTGTTGCTCTGTTTGTGGGGAAAATTGACTGTTGAGTTGACTTCATTGATAAGGTAAAACTTTTCATTTTGTTATATACACGTTTCACTGAATGTTGTTTTTATCTTAATTTTTTTTGGGGGGTTGGTATTAAGTAGATACCGCCACTAATTAGTGATACCTAAGGTTTAAAATGAATTTTTAAAAATGAAAAAGCTTTTATTTTCGCTTTAATTGAAAGCTAAAAGATTAAATTAATATTTCCAGTAAGTAAAATACTCTAGTGTATTTTAAACAAAAATTATATTGATTGGAATCAACTTTTTTTTTTTTTGTTAAGTAACTGATTACCACCTTTCTTTAGTAATCTTTCATAGCAATGTAATTCTCTGTATTAAATAAATCCTCAAAAAATAAAATATATACATTTCTGAAACTTTATTTGAGGAACATTAGCTGATTTAAAATAGAAACTAATCTGATTTGAAACTAATATTATTTACTTTAAGCTTAAAATAACACAGAAATGCATTTTAAAACAAACAGTAACAGTAATTTTTAAAGAACAGCAGCTATTCTTATGTAATTGATGAGTGATGGCAAGTGCTGATAAGGGGTTGACAGATTGATTGTTGTTCTACAGGAGACTTTATCTATTAAAACATAATTTAAGAGAATAACGAGTGAGTGGATTTTTTATATATTTTTAAGTCCTCACTAATCTTAAAAATGTTGGAAAATATTCTCCGTAATCTAATTTTAGGAATATGGACTTTAAATTTACTATAGTCATCGCTCTTATTGTCTGATAATGTTGTGTACGGTCACCCATAATTTCAAAATGGGCACTTTTATACACATAAAAAAAAAATTTGAAATTATTTAAAAAATCTTGGTGTGTGATGATTTGTATTAAGCTTTCCAATTTTTCAATAGTAAATATAATTTTCACTTAATAATAATATCACCTAATGCTATCAAAATTTTGCAGAATTTTTAAAAGATTTGAAACTTTATAAATTATTATAATTAAAATGAAAACAATTCTTGTAAAAATTCATTATTCATTGAAAAAAAATTATTTTCTTAAGACGATAATGTCCTTAATATATATTATTTCTAAAAGCAATTAAGAACTTATCTAATTAATGTCATGATTTTATTGCATTTTTTATTTTACTATTTGGAGCAGATTTCAGGAAATCAGTAATTGAAAAGACAAAAATGGATCATTTACATTCTCCAAGGAGTCCTACTTTTAACTATTAAAAAAAGTTTGAGATCAAAATTTAATTTCTTGAAATTTCATGAAATTAAGTGTGGGTGGGGGGATGAACAGATATTAAAAAATTATATTTTTACCAAAATTTTCTAAAAATAATAATTTCAAAATTACTTTAATTCATTTGTGAATAAGTCCTGAAAGTTTCATTAAAATTCGATAATTATTTGATTTTTGCAATGTGTCTATGACTATGAAAACAGATGCATAATACTACTGACCAACTCTGTCACGTTCACTATCCAGAATAACCCATCCCATCTAAATAATCTTAAAATAGTCACAAACACTTCCAAAACCATTATGGATATACTCAGATCCTCAAAACACTAATAGCAATAATATTTCTGAAGCAGGCATTTATAAAATATATTGTCAAAACTGTTCCTCTCAATATACTGGAGAAACAAGTAGAAATTTTTAAAAAATGCATTTATGAGCACAAAAGAGACCTCACAATAAACAACTTAGCTAATGCACTAGTCATACATGGAAATAAATTCAACCACAATTTTGATTTTAAAAATGCTACAATCATAAAAAAAGAAAATAACTCACTCAGAAGGAAAATCCTCGAGAGTGCCACCATTGAATATTACCCAAATATTAATCTACGCCCAGGATATTTCCCTATTTCCACTTTCTTAACAGAATTACTACTCTGCCAAACAAACGTACACAACAGTATCAAGAAATCAAAAGAAAAAGGTTGAATCCGTCAACACAGCAATAAAAACAATATCTCCACATGTGACAGTAACTGACGTAATTTTCAGTTAACAGTATGAAAATAGCATTCTCTAAATTCTTCCAGTTGCTAAGGACATTTTGTTTTGTTATTATTAGTTACTTTGTTTAATAAATTCATTTCGTTTTTGCCTTGAAAAAGTTCACATTGGATGAAACACGTCAGCTACCATTATAGTTTTCCTATTTTACATTTTAAATGCATATATATATATATATATATATATATATATATATATATATATATATATATATATATATATATATTGTCTTTATATATATTATTATTATTTTTATTATAAGATATTATAATAAAGACATGTTGAAATTGCTACAGAAAAGCTTTCATGTTTCAATACTTTGAATGTACTTCTTCAGCCGATGGTAAGTAACTGGTGATTAAATGATTTTGAAGAAAATTCCAAAAGTAAAGTGTTACCTTTTTTCCAAAAGTTAAAGGGATGGGGAGACATAAGGTCATAATTAAAAATCTATTTTTGCACAACTCTAGTTTTATCATTATTTACATGCAGACTATTATCCTCATTTCTGTTGTTTTTTTTTGTTAACACAATGTTTCAGCTGTTGTACACTTGTGCCTTCATCAGGTATATGTCAATCCAGGTATCCCACAGGACAATGCCCTCATGGATTAAAGCATTAGTTTGTGTATTTGGTAATATAATAAATGTGATTTCAATCCCTGGGCTGGGCAGTGTGAACTTGAATTAAGTGGAAATGGGAAAGTAATAACTGACCAGTCCTTAAAATAAATACTGCATAAGAAACATGGGCAATGGAATGAGAACAATCTACTCCTATAAATTAAATAAAGGGTTTGGTTAAATTTGGTTAGTTCTCTGTAGGTTATCTGAATCGACATACACCAGATAAAGGTTGCAGGGTACAATGGCTGAAACATTGTGATAATAACAACAAAGATGATTGATTTGTTTTTTATGACTTGTCAACAATTTGTAAGTTATTTAAAGCCAGAAAATATTCTTACATTGTAAAAATTTTGGAGGGATAATAATGATTTTTACTGATACAAGTTTTACTAATTAACCTGTAGCTGGGGGGAGAAGAACTGGATTCATACCTTTCCCAAGGTTAACTGCGCGTAAATGAATATAACGAATTCAACTGAAATTGGAACTTGCCTCTCCGAATTCCAATTCCACCACTCACACATCCAGACATATAGCACCTGGTATTCCCAAGTGTTGTTGCTTAACTTTGATGATCATATGAGAACCAGTGTTTCAATGTGATAGAGCTGTAAGCCCTTTAAACCACCTGCACATCCAGACTAACAGCACTTGGTATTCCCAAGTGATCACACATCTAGGTACTAACCAGGCTCAATGTTGCTTAACTTTAGTGATCATACAAGAACCAATGTTTCAAGCCATAAACGAAGATGAGGATGATAGTTTGCCTGTAAATAATGTAAATAACAATTAGATTTGTTTAGAATGATGGGGTCGTCAACAAGAATTTCTCTGGGGGGGGTCATGTGGTTGTCCAAGTGCTTTTTATGGCACTAAGACTACTCATGTGATTTGTGAGCCACCTACTTATCCTTGTCAATATATACTCTAAGTAGTTACTAGATTTATTACAAAAACTACAGTCTTGTACTGGACAGTGAATTGTTAGCATTAGTGTTTTTAAGTTTCATATTTTGATAGGCTTTTGTTATTGGTAATTATTGGTTATTGGTAAGTTTTTAATTTTCTATAGTATATTGTAAGTTTGCTGGGGTCAACAGGTGAAATGTATTATTTAATGATGTATCACAAGGCAAATTCATCTTGTTTATAATTTGGTATATTAATATTTTATGACTGCGGTTGGGATCATTGAGTTAATGTGAACAATCCTTTCTTTAGCTGTATAGTATGTGCTTCACGAGAACTACAGTTTTGAATTCAGATTTCCTTGTCCTAGACCAGTTCCCACACAAGGCTATAAAACCCAGTCTGTCCTACTATTTACCCATAGCTGGGTGTAGAAGAGTTGGTTTCATACCTTTCCAAAGGGTTGACCGTAGTCGGGATCATTGAGTCAATACGAATGATCTTTTCCTTAGCTGCATAGTATGTGGTTCACCAGGGCTACATACAATTTTGAATTCAGAATTTCCTTCTCCTAGATCATTTTCCATCAAAGGCTATAGAACCCAGTCTGTTCTACTATTTACCCATAGCTTGGGGGAGAAGAATTGGATTCATACCTTTCCCAAGGTTATTAACACAGAAGTGAATGTAATGAACTCTAATGGAATTTGAACTCAGTTCTCCAATTCCCTAATCTGAGACACAATCTATTACTCTATCATGTCACTTCTTGGTGGCTGCATAGGGTGGGTGTCAGGCAAAGAGAACAGATGTAGTTGTGGTTAGAAATTCCATTCTGTAATCTTACCCATTTTGTGATGACACTGTATTTGGTTCTCATTCAACCATTCACTCTTAATATTTAATAATATTTAATTAATATTAATGTTTAATTTCAATACTATATTATAAATTTGTTGGTGTCAATGGGTAAAAAATATTATTTAATGATGTATCACATATCAAATTCATCTTGTTTATAATTTGTTTGCTTTTTGTTACAGTAGCTAATATTTATTGGATTATGTTTTTAGTGTTGTGTTGTATAGAAATAAAGTCTTGCTGCCAACACTTGAGTTTGAACATAAATTGTCAGTGAGTAAACTAAGGCGATCCCATTATTGTATGACCATAGTCTATGTGGCCATAGAGGAAAATGCATATATGGAAGGTAGCATGTGTCTAATTGATCACTATTTCTACTCTATCCTCTATTACTCTTCAGAGCCCTATTTCTACTCTATCCTCTATTACTCTTCAGATCCCTATTTATACTCTATCCTCTATTACTCTTCAGATCACTATTTCTGCTCTATCCTCTATTACTCTTCAGATCACTATTTCTGCTCTATCCTCTATTACTATCCAGATCACTATTTCTGCTCTATCCTCTATTACTATTCAGACTGCTATTCTCTACTCTATTCATTATACCATTTCTCTATTCAGATCACTATACGGGTTACTTGTTGAGCAAGTATTATCAAGAAAGTACTATTAGTGTGAGTGCTATTTGAAGGCGCCTGACACCAGTATTGTTCAACAATGTACAGTAGTTGTATCCGCAATTACAAAGTCTCTACTACAATGAGCATTACAAAAGTGACAACGCGTATTCGTTGACATCACAAAAGTGGCAACGGGTGTTTGTTGACATCACAAAATGTTGACAAAATTTAGTTTCTGCAGGAATAACTTCATTTGATTACTGATAATGTGAGTGGTAAAATTATTAACAACCAATTTGTCTAGAGACTTGAGGCAACAGAAATGCGATTCTACAGAAGGATGATGACTATACCATGGTATGAACATGTGAGCAATGACAAAATTTTAGAGAAAATGGAAAACAAAATGAAACATAAGATCAGTTGAAATTTCATGATGAGGAAAGGGGGCTTGGAAAATCTTATAATCATGGGACAGATTGAAGGCAAGAGGGACAGAGGAGAGCAAAGTATTACTTATATCAGTCAGTTATGTGCTATGTGTGATATATGCTTAGGTGATCATGTATCTTTCAATACATAACACGAGGCAGATTTTTTTTCCAGCAGTAGGTTGCCATTTCTTTCTGTTGTAGACCAGTTGCTATTCAAGGCTATAGAACCCTGTCTGTGCTGCTATTTACCCATAGCTGGGGAGAGAAAAGGATTCATACCTTTCCCAAGAGTATTAGCACATTAGTGAATGTAATAAATTCAACTGGAATCCAAACTCGGCTCTCCAATTCCTCAATCCGAGAGTGAGCTTGAATAAATGCATGGCAGTACAAGGTTTAAAAGAAATAACAAAAAAACAAAATTTGTTGAGAGCTACAAAGGACAGGAAATTTTAGAGAGCCATAATCCCCTATGTCCTGAAGGAACATAGCATATAGAAGAAGAAAAAAAAATATTTTGTGGGGAAGAGGAGGTTAGATGTGCTTTATTTGGGAAGTTTTTTTTTGTCACTGCTACTTTATATCTTTGTGGGCATTTGCTATTTAAGTTTGAGAAACAGGAGTCCATATCAATCTTTTTTTATATAATTATTTGTTTATGATGAATAAATCTAACCATTTTGGCATTTTTGATCAAAATTCAATCCTTTAGTGGTGAAACTGGATTGAGCTCTCCAGGCCTGGGTGATAGTATATGGAGGCTATGCTGCCCAACAACCAACCACCCACCCACCCACCTCGGGCATATCGACAAGATCTAAAGGAAAACAGGGCATTACATTTGGGGTTGGATTGGTTGCAGGAGTTGCCAGAAAATTGTCAGTGTTGACAGCCAACACCCTTTGGATCTGCACTCTGGGTTTTCTGTTTGTATTTACTTCCATAGCTTTTTCCGTGATTTTAGATTTGATGTAAGGCAGTGGAAGTTTGAAATCAGGGTTTTCCTCTCTCTCTCTCTCTCTCTCTTATATATATATATATATATATATATATATATATATAAATTCGGTGTTCCCATATCTTCAGTGTTTCTACTTATTACATAATTATAACTCACACTCAGGCCTTTATATCTTCCACACTTATAATTTCATCAATAAAAACATTGCTTTTGTATGATGAAGCCCTTCTAGACCACTGGTTCCCAACCATTTTTTTTTATCCATGGGCCACTTTTATTATTAATTTTTTTTGGTAGCCCCAATAACCATTCGATGAAAAAAAATGCTTATTTTATTTTTTATTAATATAGATGTTGTAGCATACCTACAGAGGATAATACGTATGTCCCCATTTGCATAAATACACTAGTGAATACTGTATGTGGTCTAGAGTTGGAGATTCATTGTGGAATTCACTTGACTCACTTCTAGTAGTTGACTACTTCTTCTACATGCCACTGGCAAATCTTATATGTGTTGTTCTTGTCCTAAGTATTATCGTTCGTTACCAACCTTTGTATTATTATTCTATTCAGTAACCTTCCCTAGGTTACAACAATAGATAAGTTTAGGAATTGTATTATAGAAATAGTAAATACTAGCAGTAGAGCCCGGGGATGTAACATCAAGTATCGACCATCATAAAGACTGAAAAATAAAATTGACAAAGATTATTGTTTAAGGTTGACGGACACGCATGTCTTAATTAGTTTTTGTTTTTTGTTTTTTTGTTTTTTTTTATGAATTGGTCAAACCCAAACTCAAACAAAAACATTGTTTTCAATCATTATGAGTCTACCGATTGAATAGAATTTTATTATAAACAATTGTCTTGTAAATGGAATTTTTAAAGCATTCTGAATGTAAAAATAAAGAAAAAAGTGTGCAAGACAATAAGAAACACTACCTGCCAAAAAAAAGTGAAGTTTTGTTGAAATTGGTTGAAAAATGTAGGAAATCCGATCCCATATATAAACACACACACACACGCACAACCTGGGTTTTATAATAAGTATTATCGATATGAGTTTTCCCCCTTTCATTCTGGCAAGAGTGATTCCTCTTAATCGTGTTTTCAAATTGATTTTGTGCAAAAACAATTGTGTTTTTCCAATTTTTGGCACTGTCAGAACCACTACAAGGTAATTTTATGTAGTCCTGTTAAGTTTTGTTGAAATCGGTTGAAAAATGTAGGAAATCCGATTCAATATATAAATGAACAGACACATACACACACACAACCTGGGTTTTATAAGTATGATATATACTTTATTTTGAAGTGAAACTAATTTAATGAAATAAACTTATATCTAACAACTACATTCTATGGATCATTTATGTACACTAGTAAAATAACTCATAATAAACCATTTTAAATATGTTAATATTTAATAAATTGAAAAAAGTGCAGATTTATTCAATAATGTGGTTGATGCTGCTCTGTTAGTTTTTTTTTATATTCAGATTCATCAAGGTCAATGATAGTCAATAATTAATCTTTTTTACAATGTTGAGTCTATTGCTGCATTAATTTATATTAATATTTTATTTTATATTATTATTTATTATTAATATAGTAAATTAATTTATATAATAAATGTGCTCTTCATATAATTAAAATATATATATATATATATATATATATATATATATATATAATCCTTTCTTTATATATCCTTCTCAGTTTTTATTCAACTTTGACAATCGAAACATCCGGTAGAGTAGAGTTAGAGATGCTAACTTGCATATTTAAGGAATAAATAAAAATGAACATAATACACCCTCAAATAACTCTAAACATATCAAACTACTATCACTGTAATTAAATGCATTCTAACTATAAGCAGGAAAAATAAAATTCTAAAAAGACTCATAAACACTAATACATCCCCCACCTCACTGATC